GGAAACCACACATTTAGGACATACAGGTTTCAAGCTGGCTGGTTTTACAAACTCAATTATCTTCTCTTAGTATTTAAGGCAACTGCACTCCTATACACACTTACCTGGGAGTCCGTCCCAGTGAACTCCAAGGGGCTTTCTTCTGAGGCTGTGCACACCCTACTCTGAAGCATATTCTTTCCCCTGAAAGAATTCTGGGTACAGGAGTTTGTTAAGGGCTGCTGGGAACTGTAACTATGTGAGGAGTGAACTACAGTTTCCAGAACACTTTGAGAGAAAGATGTGCTTCACAGGTGCTTTAAAGGTGTACTGAGTACACGGCCTGAGTGCGCATGTATAGACTTCCACTGTAGACAACTGAGACCTGATGAAAGGCATGCAGAATAAAGTCACCGGTACTGGATTCCACATAACTAAATTCACACCGTATTGGTATGCAAGCCATCCACGGCCCTGGAGCACTTTGCACAGACTTGCTAACACAGCAAATGTAAGAACCAACAGCCTGATTTATACATGATGCCAGTCAGAGAGAATTCCACATGGATAAGTGTTTTGTTAAATTTCTCTCTTTCTCTCATACTACCACACACAAAATCACTTATAAACTGTGCAATGATGTGGCATGGAAGATTTTCTGTTTAGACATGCATAGGCTCATAAAATTAATTAGAAACATAATGAATAGATACACTACCAGTCAAGTTGGGCACTGGGGATTTCTTTTAGCTGTCAGATTTCAGTATCAGGGTCATAACTGCATTCAATTATGTGTTCAATGGGCAATGTTGTCATAACTATTAAAGTTTTCAAGCAAATGTAATTTGAAGTTTGCCAAGCAAGATAGGATTGTGACATCACAGCTTCTCTTTCAATGCAGGCATTAGTAGAAATGTGAGGTGCTATCTGGCATGGATGTACAGAAGAGACCAAATAACCATTTCTTCCTATATACATAAAAATGTAAGGCAGTCATCATGCAGCCTCCACTGGAGGATTTGTAGTGCCTCATCAAAATCCTAGAGTTGCATGAACACAGGGCAGGCAGGGTTGGCGAGAAATGTGAGAAGGTGCAATAGCCTACCATAAATTCACCTAGTCTGCCATACATCTGCAATAAAAGAGAAAGAAAAGTATCCACACTCTTTACCCATACAGTGGTACCTCAGGTTGCAGAAGCTTCAGGTTACAGACGCTTCAGGTTACAGACTCCGCTAACCCAGAAATAGTACCTCGGGTTAAGAACTTTGCTTCAGGATGAGAACAGAAATGAGGTGGCAGCGCGGCGGCAGCAGGAGGCCCCATTAGCTAAAGTGGTGTCTCAGGTTAAGAACAGTTTCAGGTTAAGAACGGACCTCCAGAACGAATTAAGTTCTTAACCTGAGGTACCACTGTATTCCTGACTGCATGTACTGATATTCTGTGCCTTTAGCAACTGGATACCAAGTTCCTACCTGGGTTTTGCTATACCCTCAGAGAATACCTTGGGCAGGCTACAGCCTTCCCACCTGTAATATGGGGATAGTAATTATAGAGTTGTTTTAACCTTCACTGAAATAACGTACTTAAAGCAAACACTGGGGAGGGGAAATGTACAATTGTTAAAAGCAGCATATCTTATGGGGAAAGGACTGCAAACTTCTTATCCTCAAAAGGCCTGTTATGTCAAGACAAGATCTTTGTGGCCTGCAGAAAACGGCAGGTTGACCAGAATAGGCAGGAGAGAGAAAGTCCAGTTCAGAAAGGAATCCCATCTTCCTCATATCTAATACTTCAGGTTGCTCACCTTAATGAACTAACAGGTGACAACAGAGCTAACCAAAAGGCAGAAAACAGAACAGAATAAACGGCAAATGGATCAACAATGGCCACAGGATCAAAATCATGATGCCAGAAAAAAATGTTTCAGTCTTTCCTAATCTGGGAGCCTCCACATGTTTTGGACTACAATTCTCAGCAGCCCCAGTCACCAAGATAGGCATTACTGACCTGCAGCAATTATTCTTTTTAGTACAGATACAGATTGGATGACTGTTGGCAACATATTTGATTCTGAAATTAAAGAGGAAACCCTGTTAGATCGATCAAAAATACAGTCAAATCAAAACTGGAGGGGATTTTTTTTGTTCAATGTCAGTCAGGCCATATTGGGATGCAGCCCTGAACTTCATTTTAGAACCCTATCTAGGGACCCAACTACATTTATTTATTTTACCTTATTTCATTTATATCCCACCTTTTCTCCAATGAGCTCAAGGCAACATATATGATCTCCATTCCCAGTTTTATCTTCACAACAGCTTCATAGCCAAGTGGAGTTTGAACTTGAGTCTCCTGCTTGCTAAGATAGTTTTTCTCCAATTAGAGAGAAAAAGTGCAACCAGGTATGTACTTCATTAACCACAGGTTTCTCCCAAAGAGCCAGCACCAGGCATCATGGGTTCCAGGCAGTAATGAGCCAGAGCACACCTTTATAGATACTGTACTAATTCCTCCCCAAAATGCATGAAATTTTGCACATAAGCAAAAACAGTGCTAATATACGCAACACCATGCCCCTGATTCTAAATATGTATGGGTTTCTGTAACTGTGCCATAAACATGAGACCAAATCCTCCATTTACTTTTCTCTCCAAATGGTGTACAGAATTTTCATAAGGCCTTAATCACGCTTTACATAGAAATTAAAGCAACTGCAATAGATTAGGTCCTGATTTAGAAACATGGCCATATTATTTTAACTTTCTTTTCTGTGCTATTGATTAGTAGAAATACAATTATTTGTAAGCGCATGCGAAACCTATTTGCTTGCAAGATGAAAAATGCTGCATTCTGTTCCTTGTGTGCTGCTAAATTTAATCTCTTTCATTAACGCATTTGTTACTTCATGAATTCATTCGGGCTTGTAGCCCATCCCACCCCAAAACCTTAGGATGGATAACTTTTTTAAAAATAAATAAATATCTGTACCTCTTTAGCCTTGCCACCAAACATGACCCTGAACAAAAATGGTGTATAATGCTTTTGAATAAAAAAATCATTAAACCAATTTAAATATTGGGTTTAATTCACGGAAATGGAACAACTTCAAATTCAGGCACCGCACTGAAAATGACAGCATGTCACAAATCATTTTTAAGATAAATTTATTTCACATTCAATATTTTCTGCACAGCGTTTAAAAGATCCTTGCCACAACCCTGCATACATTTAGGGTGTTTAAATCCCAGTAATTAAGAGCTAAGCAGTCTGTATGCGGATTTCAGCCTTTGAGTTCAACAGCCCAGTATTAGAGCACATTAAAGGTAAAGGTAAAGGGACCCCTGACCATTAGGTCCAGTCATGACCAACTCTAGGATTGCGGCGCTCATCTCGCTTCATTGGCCGAGGGAGCCGGCGTACAGCTTCCAGGTCATGTGGCCAGCATGACTAAGCCGCTTCTGGCGAACCAGAGCAGTGCACGGAAACGCCGTTTACCTTCCTGCCGGAGCGGTACCTATTTATCTACTTGCACATTGACGTGCTTTCGAACTGCTAGGTCGGCAGGGACTGGGACAGAGCGACGGGAGCTCACCCCGTTGCGTGGATTCAAACCGCCGACCTTCTGATTGGCAAGTCCTAGGCTCTGTGGTTTAACCCACAGCGCCACCCGCGTCCCGTATTAGAGCACATTACTTCAGGGGAAAGAGAGCTGGTGCGTCTCTTTTCTCTTTCCCCCCTCCAAGTGTCCTCCTGAACTTTCCTGGAAGGAAGATGATCCAGCCACCACTTCTCCTGAGCAATGAGCTGTCATTTCCAGGGCCCACCCACTGCTTGTCCCATTGGCTTCAACCTATTGAGCAGGACGATGCAACACTGTACTTGAAGTTCCCGTGCGGGTAGCCTTATGCTCTGTGAGTAGATACACGTGAATTACTACCAAAGTCCTAAATTCAAAGCCTAACTTTTTGTTCCCTAACATGTTAGCACACAGAAACTGTCACGTGATGTCCTGACAAAATTGGACCTGACGACTCATAAGCCAGTAATAGATCATTCTGGCTATCAACCACACTTTCAAATAATGAGACCAATGTTCTCGAAACTATGGAATGTAAGCCAAAATTTGTCAGGCAACAGGTAGGGCCACCATAAAATCTTGTTATCATCCCAGGAGTGCGGGAGAGAGAGCTTGTGCTGATGCCTCAACAGAAAAACAAAAGCACCTTTTAAAAACAATTTTTATTCGGTATTTAAGAAATAATCTGTACAATTTACTACTCACAGTGCAGTACAAGGCACCAAACACACCCATCCATTACAACTCAGTTCAGGTAAGCACACCATATCACTTCTTCATTCATTCCTTATGTAATGGAGCAACTAAGAAATGGACGATATTAACCTTTCTGCACATAAAAACCTCTGACAGACTTCTGTTAACAGCAATCACTATATATCGAGCAATTTATAATGTTTAATAAATGAACCCTAATGCAATAAAGCAAGAATATATTAGCAGTATGTGATTTTTACACTGCTGGGCAACTCCACTTTGCAGGCGCAGGTCTCAAGAGATCTAGCACCACGGACAGCTCCACGGTCAATACTGTATTTCTTTTTGCATTTGCTTCTTATTTCCTATATGTACTGTATATCATTTTTTGCCTTGAATAGAAGAAGAAGGCAGGATTTAACTAAGTTGCTGCATGAGCAGAATGAGGTGTGCTCACGCAATGGGGCTTTCCCCCTTCTCCTCCCCCTGCGCCCCCTAAATCTGTTCTGGAAGGCTGGTGAAAATCCATCATGGGTTTGGGGGCACACATAGGAAGAGAGTGGGGGAAAGTCCCATTAGGCAAGTTGACCTTGTTCCACTCATGCATATCCACTTAGCATTACACTGAAACCTACCCATGGTGTCAGATGTTTTAGCCACAAGATCTGCCTTTAACCCTAGCCTGCAGCAATAGGACCGACATTTTCTGTTAGGAGGCATCATTTGGTATTGTTCATATTACAACACAGTTCAGTCAGTAGAACACAAGACTCTTAATTTCGGGGTCATGGGTTCGAGGCCCACGTTGGGCAAAAGATTCCTACATTTCAGGGTGTTGGACTAGATGACCCTTGTTGTCCCTTCCAACTCTACAATTCTAGGGCAAACAAATTCATTGGGGAGGAAATAAAGGATACAGTCTTGTTTTTGGCAGTACTCGAGATTAGACTGTAAAATGCAATGTGCACTTTAAGAGCAATTGTTCTGAAAATAAATCTATACATTACCTATATCGACCCAAGTCAAAGAGTCACACCCTTTGGTTGTTTTATATCAGGGGTGACCAGCTCTCAAGAGACTGTGATCTACTTTCAGAATTAAAAACTGGCAGTGATCTACCCCCGTTTTCAGCTGAAAGTTGAAAACGGAGGAGGAGTCCCGTTGTTTTTTAGGGGTTAAAAAAAGCTTTTGGGGGGGACTTCTGTTTTTTGGGAGGGGTTAAAGGCAAGGGACAAAGGGGTAAGGTCACTCACAATAAGATCGCTATGGATGAAAACAGCAGCACAGACAAAGCTCCGTCTTCCCTTCCAGAGATCAAACAACAATGGAGGGTGGGCCGAGGCAGAAGTCAGTTTTAGTGATGCTAAGGAAAGGGAGCCAGAGATTGACCGCGATCTACCAAAACCTCGCAGGGATCTACCAGTAGATCGTGATCGACCTGTTGGACATCCCAGTTTTATATAAATGGGATTGTGCCCTTGACATAGACACCTATTGAACAGGTTCAGCTGATAAACCTGTTTAATAGGTATCTATGCCAAGAGCACAAACCCATTCAGAGTGAAGTACAAGTGAGTTAGCAAGCAACAGTGCATTCCTGGGAAGTAATTGGTGGAAAGTAAATACAAGGGAAGGCAACGCCCCCACCCATGTCATCCATTCATATACACAACCTCTTTATGTTAGAAAAAGGTTTTACCAAAAGAAAAAAATGAGACATGCAGTGCTGGGTGTCACTGGTTTGTGCTAACACCCCACCAGTTGAAGACCAATGGTGTAAGACTGTGCATGCTCCCCTACAAGGCCACCAATCATGGTAAGCCATTTATACGTGGAGAGACTCACACTCATGCGCTTGTCACATGTGACATGGCTCTCAGAAACTAGACAGTTCCATTTCCTACATCATAACTAGCTTCTTATAGTAAAAAATTCATGTGGCAAATACTGAAAAAGACGAGATAGCTACATCTCTTCACAGATGCAAAACCTGCTTAATGCCTAGAACACATGCTTCCTTCCTTTCACATATTTCCATTAGCTCAACTTGTACATTTTTTGCTATTAATAATATCTGTTTAACATCAGTAAATGAGTGAAATGTATGTTAACAAGCATGAGACTACTCAGAAGATCAAAGTCTGCCTTGGTATTTTACAGGAAGTCTTCCCTGGAGTACAAAAAAAGGTGCTTTTTTTTAAAAAAAGGATGTTACTAAATCTTCATGCTCCACTTGGAAAAAGGAGATCCACACACAGAAGCATCTTCCATGCATGGATCTCTGTCAGTGGATCGGGAACTTATGGGTGAACATGAACATACATTCAGATGCAGATGTCGCCTCATTGCATTTAGCAATACACGCATTCAGATGTGCAACCCATCCACATTCTACAGCAACTAGAATCAGAATTGCAGAGTTGGAAGGCAACACAAGGGTCATTTAGTGACATAACTACCTGTATACACAATTAAAACTGGAATGGGAGATCAACAACAAAAAATGCATGTTCCTTAATATTGAAACATGACAGAAAGATTATATATACTTAAACTTCTCAAAGATCACAATTAGCTCCATTCCAACAGTAATCATTATCTGTTCATTAGATTCTATGAATCTATGAATGAATGCATCCTAAACTAATGACTGGAATCTGAATGTGTGACCCACTCCAGGGGCAGCCTCATCTGAGGTTGATGTCAATAAGATATTTAAGTTCTGCCTGTGGTGTTCTGTCTGTGATGGTACATTCACACGTGCACACTCTCAGTTGATGCTACAGTTATCAACCAAGGACTGCAATCTTGGGTCTCACTTTTCCAAAACTCCACATTTTGCAGATTGTTTAATAGTGGGAACCTATGCATGACACTCAAAAGTAAGCACTATTAAGTTCAATTGGATTTACTACCAGGCAAGCAGGTCTAGGATTGCAACCTATATCTTCTCATATATGCTTGCAAATGTAACCTTATAGAAACAGATTCCTCCTTATTTGAATTTTAAATTGTAATGAATGTTTTCAAAATCCCAAATGCTTTTCAAGTAAATTTGACTTTTCTTCATCTGACGTATGAAGAAATAAGCACTGCCTGCCTACTTGTTACCATTACAATCTCATTTTCAAGCCATTCATTCAAATAATTCACACCAAAGGTGATAATTTATAGACAAATATTTATATTTGTACAAAAATAAGTATCATAATCACCCTGCCTTCAGTTTTCTACAGATAAGGAATTACAGTCTTGCTATGACCACAGCTGTAACCTTGCTCAACACATAAATTCCACATAAGATGGTTATTTTAAATGCTACTGTTCCTTGATTTCCTTTCTAAGCAAATGTGGAAAGGGCATTATGTTGAACGATGCAGAAAATATTTAAATAAAACCAGTAATTTAAAAACCAAAAGGTGCAATGAAGTATATGACAGCGAAGCATGTTCGTTTGCTCCTGATTTGTATTTCTACCAAACACCAAGTGCAAAATGGAAGAAGCCTACATGGTGTCACCTTAAGACAAATTTTGGACGAGGACAGTTAACCTTTCTTCTCTGTAGTCACTCTTTACAGCAGGGTTATCTTGGCAGTGATCGTCAGGCATAAGTATTACATAAGAAACTGCTGCCACCTTCAGGAAAGGTCCAACATTGAATCAGCATTTATTTGCCGCAAACACGTTTGCTTGAATTGTGACCAAAAAATCCAAGCACAAAACAATAAGCCTCCAACGTGTCCGCAACAAAGCCCCTCGATAACTTCGTGTGAATGATCAGGAAACGAAAACTGAACCGCCTAAGGAATTCTCCGCTGAGCGCTCTGCAACGGTCCCTTGCCCTTGGCCCACCCAGCCTAAGTGCCCAAGTTACCCAGCATTTACAGGAAGAATTATGCATGGCAGACAAACGACGACGACGACGAGGGGGGAACTGCAAAATTAACTCTTTCTGAGCACTGGCTGATTGGTTTTGCACAACCGACTGATGAAAGAATGCCAGCCAAATCCTCGCGCACTTTTCTTCTTGATCCTTTCCCCGTTTCCCAACAAGCCCCTCTGTGTCTTGTGTGCCACCGTACCTGCCAACCAGCTAGCGCGAACTGAGACAAGAGAGGAGAGTGCGCCAAGAGGAGCGCAAAGGAGAGGACGCTCCAAAGGGGGCAGCGTGTCCACGGATCACAGCAGCTGCTCCTGAAAGACGGAGCCGCCGGCATCCTCCTCTCTTTGCCCCCTCGCATCGCTAAAGGGGGGAGGGCAAGCCACCCCACCCGCTGCATCCCTCTCCTGCCTGCCTTCCCCTTCCCCGCTAAGCGCTAGAAATCCGACTGGCCTCCCGCTCGCCCTTCAGGAGTTCACGGAGAGCATCAAGTGGCGCTCCAAGTACGCAAACGCTGCAGCTCAGCTCAAGCTCAGCTATGCGGGTGGCCAGGCGCCTGCTCGCAGCTCGCCAACCACAAATCCCTGACGCGCATCTGTTGCTTAAATAACCGGCGGCGCTTTCTCGGCACGCCAAGGGCTGCAGGTTTGAGCCCAGGCTGCTGGGCCAGGAAGCAGCTGCCCGCGGGAAACCAGCTGCAAATTCGCTAAACACCAGCCTCTGGTGGCGTGGTGGAAGCCAGGCCACTGAGCATGTCAAAAGGGGTGGGGGCAGCGCGAATCAGATCCGAAGTGATTCCGTTCCAAACAGCTGGAGTCTCTTCGAAATGCCTTTTTTCCGCCTCGCATCGTTTCCATCCAAGGCCAGCCTCTGCTGCTGCTGCAGACTGGCAGCGGGGGAAAGGGCTCTGGAGAGGTACACAAACACGGATCGGAGTGATTCCCTTTGGAAGTCCCTTCCAACAGGATTTCCTCTTTCCCGTCTGCCTAAGGCACAGCTTCTGCCCAAGGCCAGGCGCTGCTTCTTGCAGCATAGCATCTAAATTATATATGTATTTAAGGCACCAAGGAGGAACCCAAACAGGAACTCGAGTGACTCCATCTAAACGGGTGGCCTCCCCTTGGAAGCACTCATCCTGCCATCCCATGCCAAACAGCTGGCTGCAGGTCGGCATCCAAGGCTCTGGCAGCGGCAGATCCCACCTTCTGCCCCATCCATCCGGGGTAAAGGCAACAGGACTGTGTCGCCCTCCCCCCCCCACCGAAAGGTGCCCGGCGCTGGCCACGCCGAGAGAGCCCCCTCCCGCCCCACTCACCTCGGTGTCGTAGTAGCGCAGGTCCAGCGAGTAAGGGTCGAGCAAGGACTCGTTGAGGATCTGCTCCATGGCCAGTTGCATGGCCGGCAGCACCCCCCGGCCGATCCTGCCCTTCTCCACCGAGTCGCTGAGCGGCATCAAGCCCATGATGGCGATGGGGGTCGTGGCGGCGGCGTTGGGCAGCGACCCCGCCGGCGCCCGGGAGTTGCTTCGCGACCAAGCCGAGGAGACCAGCGGCGGCGGCGGCTGCAGGAGCAGCAGCAGCAGCAGGAGCAAGGCAGAGGTGGTGGCCGCGCTGGGCCGCCGGGGCAAGGCAGGCATCCTGCGGGAGAGGTCAGGGGGGCACAAGCACGAGGGCGCCCGCTGCCCTCTGCCAGGCAATGGCCCCGGCAGGGAGGAAGGGGCGCGCACGCTGCGGCCCCCCCGGCTCTAATCCTCCTGGCAATGGCGCCGGCTCCTTCCTCGGGGCGGCCAAATGGAACCACTAAGCAGCAGCAGCAGCAGCAGCGACGGAGCCACTGCCCGCCACCCCCGTTTCCCACCCACCCCACCCCCGAGTCCAAAAGCGGCGGGCGAGGGCGCCTCCTCAGCCCCTCACTCAGCCGCAGCCAGGCTG